ACATATTAACTACAATAAAAAGGCATTGAAACAGTGTGGAAGTTTCTTATCAGAAAAACATTGAAATAAAATAAAAACAGTTCTTTAATTAATGTGAATATGTGTTTCGCTCATTACATTGTGAGAATTTTCAATGCAAGATTGACTTGGAAGAGTTTACCAATTACCATTATTTCTCTCGATAATATTGTTTTTATCTATGCAATCATCACGGATATCTTAATACTAAGTTTCCGTACAAATTATAGTTAAAATGAGTGGGGAGGAAGAGATTTCTGATTCTATTCTATTCTGGTTGTTCATTAATTTGACTGTTTGTATTAAGTGTTATTGATTTTCAGAAATTCTAGTAATGATAATTTTTGCTTTTATTTATAGCATTACAACTATATGTAGCATGTGTCTTATAAAGTCAGAGTGTCCCAAAGTAATGTAATGGTCTGAACCTCTCAACTACTAGTTTCCTATCAAATTTTTGTTTTTAGGTGTTCATTAATTTTAATTTCTTTTACTACTTGTTTGACTTAAAAGATAGCATCACATTTTTTACAGATTGTTTCGTAGATTCAACTTTTTTGTCTGATATTGGTTTTTGATTTTTATTTATCAATAGATTTCATAATGGACTATTCTTACATTCCACTGTGGATTCCTAGTTTCCAAGCTTTTAGACAATGTTTGCTGCACTACATTCTTCAATTCATAACGTTCTTCAGAAGTTAACTCAACGGGAGAAATTTCTAAAACCCCTAGAAGTTGTGAGCTAAGAGATTCATATGCAGTTAAGTTTTTTATTTCTAAACAAGTATTCACTCTGGCTGTAAATACCACCTTTTCAACTTTTTGTTTCACATTTTCACTGATAGAATTGTTTTTTATCGAATCGGATATTATTTCGATTAGAATACAGTAGGAATTAAACTTTAGCCGTTCCTGCTTAATAGTTTCTAATAAGTTGTTAATTTTCTGTTGGATGTTACAGGAATCGACTACACTTCCATCAAACATCTCAGTTGAAGGTAATTGGAGTGAATCAACATTTTTAGACATTTTATCTTACACTGTATATTTAATTATTAATAGGTAAATTTGCACATACAACTTGCTTATTATTTGTACAAATTAAACTTATTTATTCTGCTATCTTATGTCCGTTTTAAATTTGCCATAAGCCTTATTATTTATGGGTTTTGACAGCCTACTAACGCCTACTAAGCACCTAAGCAGTGTTGCCAATGGACGCCTATATTGAGTAGTATGAATCTGGTACCCGATATAAATAATTCGCTGATTTAAACTTTACCATTAAATTATGTGTTATTTGCAGTTTTTAAGTACGTAAGTAGTTTAATTGTGCGTCCACTATTTTTGTTAAAAAAAGGAAAAATTGTTTCGGGCGCAAGTGGAAATTCAATGTCAATTTATTCAAACAATATTAAAGATATCCTAATTTAATTGACGCAGATCGATTGCTCGTCATTTGTGCTTGAAGACAAAGGTATTATGGTAAGCAGAATATATCCTTATGTTATTTATTATTAATAACTACCTATAATACGCTGCTGTAGTCAG